GAGACGGAGTTTCGCTCTTGTTACCCAGGCTGGAGTGCAATGGCGCGATCTCGGCTCACCGCAACCTCCGCCTCCTGGGTTCAGGCAATTCTCCTGCCTCAGCCTCCCGAGTAGCCGGGACTACAGGCATGCGCCACCATGCCCAGCTAATATTTTGTATTTTTAGTAGAGACGGGGTTTCACCGTGTTGACCAGGATGGTCTCGATCTCTTGACCTCGTGATCCACCCGCCTCGGCCTCCCAAAGTGCTGGGATTACAGGCGTGAGCCACCGCGCCCGGCCTAAGTCTTCTTTTTTAAATTTTGTTTAATACTTTTGCTAATGTGGTGTGTTTTGTTTTGTTTTGTTTTGTTTTGTTTTGTTTTGTTTTGTTTTGTTTTTGAGACAGGGTCTCACTGTGTCACCCAGGCTGGAGTGCAGTGGCACCGTCAGGCTCACTGCAGCCTTGACCTCCTAGGCTCAGGTGGTCCTTCCACCTCAGCTTCCCAAGTAGCTGGGACCACAGGCACCCATCACCACAAAGGCTAATTGTTTATTTTTTGTCGAGGCTGTTTTGCCATATTGCCCAGGCTGGTCTCCAATTCCTGGGCTCAAGTGATCTGCTAGACTGCCTTGGCCTCCCAAAGGGCTTGGGTTACTGGTATGAGCCACTGTGTCCAGGTGCTAATGTAATATTTTTAAATTAAAACGCTTTTGCTAGGCAAAGTAGTGTGGCCTATAAGCCCAATTACTTGGGAAGCTGAGGTGAGAGGACTGTCTGTGTTCAAGGCCAGGCTGGGCAACAGAGCTAGACTTTGTCTCTAACTGGAAAAGAAATAGGCCGGGTGTGGTGTGGCTCAGTAGACCTGGCTGGTTGCCAGACGCAAGGCAGTGAGCATCTACCTGTTTTTGCTTTTGAAGGTTGATGGGAGTCCTGCCGGTGGTGGTCAAGCTGTACTCTATGCATCTCCTTTTGGTATCCTTCTCCCAGGAGCTGTGGGCTCTGGAGGTCGGGCCAGGGGCCTGGCATCTAAGAGTGGTTTGGTCCATGTTAGTCTGAGAGGAATGATGAGCAGGTGGCTGCTGCAAAGCCCCGAGGCAGACATACAGCACGACCCGAGCCCGAGGCAGGGCGATGAATGCCTCCAGAGAGGGTCTGGGCCTGGGTGTCGGGGGCCGGGTGAGCACCATGGGACCGTCACTGTGTTTCAGGCATGAGGAGCTCGACCGTCTAGCCAGGGAGAAGGATGCGGTGCTGGCAGCGGTGAAGGGAGCCCACGTGGAGCAGCTGCGGGAGCTGCAGGCCAGGGTTCTGGAGCTGCAGGCCCACTGCGAGACCCTGGAGGCGCAGCTCCGCAGGGCAGAGTGGAGGCAGGCAGACGCTGCCAGGGAGAAGGACACTGCCATTGACCAGTGAGTGTGTGCTCAGCCCAACACAGAGGGTTAGGCGGGGCGGCTGTGGCTGTGCTGACCAGGGCAGGCCCACTAGGTGCCAGACCACAGGAAGTGAGCCAGGCAGCAGACAGGGAGAAGTTCTGTAGCTCTCTGGTCACTTTTCTTAACCACTCTCTCTCTTTTTTTTTTTTTTTTTTTAAATTGTGTAGTTTCTATGTATGTATGCATTCATCTGTTTATAGTAAGAGATGCATAAGATAAAATTTGCCATCTTAACCATTTACTGGTGTACGGGTCAGTGGCAGTGCCATTGAGCACATTTACATTGTTGTGCAGCCATCACCACTGTCATCTGCAGAACTTTCCATCTTCCCAAACTGAAGCTCTGACCCATTACACACTAGCTTCCCACCCCGCCAGCTCCCCCACACCCCTGCCAGCTCTCTCCTGCCCCACCAGCTCCCCCCACACCCCCACCAGAACCCCCCCGACCAGCCCCTGGCCACCTCCGTTCTACTTGCTGCCTCTATGGATTCAGCCAGGCTGGGGATCCCCTGTGAGTTAGAATCATGCAGTATTTGTCCTTTTAGGACTTGCTTATTTCACTTGGTTTAATGTCCTCAAAGATCGTCAACACTTTAATGTATGTCAGAATTTCATTCCTTTTCTTTGAATTTTTAAATTGTGGTAAAGTACACACAACATAAAATTTAGTATCTTAACCATTTCTTCTTTTCTTTATTTTTTGTCTTGACCATTTTCAAATATACAGTTCAGTGGCATTAAGTCTGAATTTTTTTCCTTTTTAAGGCTGAGTCACCTTCCCTTGTCTGGATGGACCACATTTTGTTTATCCATCCGTCTGTTGATAGATGTGTGGGTTGTTTCCATCTTTCGTTCCACTGCCAACAGAGAATTCTCTGCCAAATTGTATTTTGGTTTAAGGGGGAAATGGCTCTTAGAAGTACACCAGGAAGTCAAAGGCTTATTCAGGGTCATTTCCTAGACTCAGCATGCTGTTTTGTTGTTTCATCAGTCAGATTCAAGCAGAGTGGTTAAAGCCGCCACACATGGGAGGCCCCTGCAGCCTCTGTGGTCGGTATGTGAGGTGAGAGGAGCTGCAGGTGCTTCCATGTCCTGGGTAGTGTGGCTGTGGGGACTGGACCTCACCGCTCCTGTGCGCCTGGCCTTGGCCTCCCCTCGCAGTCTTAAGCTAAATGTTGTTCTTGAATGTCTTTTCGTTTCTGTCCATAAATACTCTTTGGTCGTTAAGAATTATTACTACGCATACACAATATTATTTTGGCAGTGAGAAACAGACTTCTACATTCTAAAGCTTATGTCTTTTCCCTTTTACTTCTGTGGAATTCAGTTATCATTCTGATCCCATGATCCTAAGTATGAGTTAGCATTAAATGATGACCTCGGCTGGGCACAGTGGCTCACACCTATAATCCCAGCACTTGGGGAGGCCAAGGCAAGAGGATAACTTGAGACTGGGCAACAAATGTCCACCCCCCAAAAAATTAGACAGTTACAGTGGCACTTACCCTTACTCCTAGCTACTCAGGAGGCAGAGCAAGACCCTGTCTCTAAAAAATTAGTATTTTTTAAATTAAAAAATTAGAAATAAATAAATGAAAGCCTTATTTATTTCACTTCCTTTTTTTTCTTTTTAAAAAAATCTTATTTATTTATTTTATTTTATTTTTTGAGATGGAGTTTCCCTCTTGTTGCCCAGGCTGGAGTGCAAGGGCACGATCTCAGCTCACGCAACCTCCACCTCCCAGAGTCAAGTAATTCTCCTGCCTCAGCCTCCTGAGTAGCTACTGGGATTATAGGCATGTGCCATAACGCCTGCCTAATTTTGTATTTTTTTAAAGGGGTCATGCTTCCTGCCCACACCCCTCCTGGAGCCCCAGCAGGGACGTGCAGGATCGTGCCCCAATCTGTATTTTTTAAAATTTTACCAGAGATGGGGTTTCTCCATGTTGGTCAGACTGGCCTCCAACTCCCAACCTCAGGTAATCCGCCCACCTTGGCCTCCCAAAGTGCTGGGATTACAAGCATGAGCCACCACTCCTGGCCTTTATTATTATTATTATTATTATTTTAAATAAAGTAGAGATGGAGTCTCCCCATGTTGCCCAGGACGGTCTCAAACTCCTGGACGTAAGTGATCCTCTCATCTCAGCCTCCTAAAGTGCTGGGATTATAGGCATGAGCCACCACTCCAGGCCAGCTTTGTAGTTCTTCATAGTTTTTTCAGCAGCTTTATGCTGGTTTGGAACTACAGCGAAAACCTGTAGGATTAACGTGAAAGCATTTTTTTCTTTCTGTTTTTTTTTTTTTGAGACAGGATCTCACTCTCATCCAGGCTAGAGTGCAGTGGCATGATCTCGGTTCACTGCAGCTCATACTTCATGGGGTCAGGTGATCCTCCCACGTCAGCCTCCCCGGTGGCTGGGACTGCAAGTGTGCGCCACAACACCTGGCAAATTTTTTTTTTTTTTTTTTTTTTTTTTTTTTTTTCCTGAGAAAGAGCCTCGCACTGTCGCCCAGGCTGTAGTGCAGTGGCACGATCTTGGCCCACTGCAATCTCTGCCTCCTGGGTTGAAGCAATTCTCTCCTGTCTCAGGCTCCTAAGTAGCTGGGACTACAGGTGTGCACCGCCACACCCAGCTAATTTTTTTGTATTTTTAGTAGAGACAGGGTTTCACCGTGTTGGCCAGAATGATCTTGATCTCCTGACCTCGTGATCCACCTTCCTTGGCCTCCCAAAGTGCTGGGATTACAGGCATGAGCCACCGCGCCTGGCCAGTTTTTGTATTTTTAATAGAGACAGGGTTTTGCCATGTTTCTCAGGCTGGTCTCGAACTCCTGGACCTCAAGCAGTCTGCCTGCCTCAGCCTCCCAAAGTGCTGGGATTACAGGCATGAGCCACCATGCCTGGCCTTCTTTTTTATTTTAAGCATCCCATTACACAGAAGAAAGAGAAGGCATTGTGTTCTGTTGCCTGGGCTGGAGGGCAGCAGTGAGACCATGGCTCACTGCAGCCTCGACCTCCTGGGCTCAAGTGATTCTCCCACCTTGGCCCCTCACAAAAAGCATTTATGCTCTTGTGATGAGCAGTACACTCCTGCTCGTGGTTGTGGTGTCCTCTCTCCCTGCAGTGAGGGCTCAGTGGCCGTGCCCACTGATGTACACCTGAGACTGTGTGTCAGAGTAGACCGGTCAGGAGGCCCCAGGCAGAGTCACATCACTGTCCTGATGTTGGGAGTAGGGCCGTCCCTCATAATTGGGTGGCTCATAGTCCAGAGATAACCTGCTTCCCAGAGCACCAGAGGCCATTGATGAGTCTGTTTCTTCAGCACCCATCCACAGCGTGGAAGGAGTCCATGTCAGCCCAAATTGCCGGAGAGGGCTGGAAAGGTTAATGCCTTTGATGGTGTCTCCTTTCAGCCATTTAAAATATTTGTCCAAAACTGTTGGAAGAGTGGCTTTTTTTTTCATCCTATATAATACCAGACTTGAGATGCACCACTCATGCTGGGTTTAACTGACCCCTCATGACAAGGGGTGGCCTCTGTGGGCACAGCCAGCTCACTCTGTGCTTCTCACTGTCCGTCATTTGGAAGTTCATCAGCTCAGGAGCATCTGAAGGAGTGTTGTGTGTGATGTTACAGTTGCTCTTGCGAGCCACCTACCCCGTCTCTTAGGGAAAGAGGGCCACAGCCATGCAAGTGGGCAGGTGTCGTCTTGCTGAGGTTAGCACTGTGGCTACCTGAGTTAACAGCTCTAAAAATTGTCCTGAACGTTTTCCTGGGAAATTTATTCAATTTGGGGTAATTCTCCCAGAGGCATCCTGCTGTTAAGGTAATTTAATGGGTTCTATAGAACCTTATTTTACTATGCAATTTGAAAGTGTATTGAATGTCTCCACATGTGGCGGGGATATGAGGGTGAGTTGGTCAGAGATGGCACTACCTCAAGACTGGGGTTCTCTGGGTCTGGGAGGCATGTCATGCCTCACCTTCCCCCCTAGGAACCTGGCATATGGCCTGGTGTGCTACAGGAGCTTAGTCGGAATCTGGGTTGGTAGGATGCATGCATGGAGGTAGTTGGGTGGATGGATGCTTGCTTCTTCCTGGGTGGAACCATCTCCTTCATCTAGGTCAGGAAGTTTCAGCTCCAATGTGGATTTCCTTTGAGAGCTCCGTGTGTGTGTGTGTATGTGTGTGTGTGTGTGTGTGTGTGTGTGTGAATGTGTATTTGCTGGGGAGTGCCGTGTAAGAGACAACCAGAGTGAGTGAGTGAGAACCACATCCACATAGCTTCCCGTCTGTGTTTAGACTTCGTGAAGATGCATCAGCTGTAAAATCTGCCTGGGATGCTCAGATTGCTCAACTGTCTAAGGAGATGGTCTCCAAAGACCTTCAGATTCAGATGCTGCAAGAAGAAGAGATGAAGCTCAAGGCACAGGTGGCCCGATTCCAGCAGGACGTTGAAAGGTAACTGTCCCCAGGCAGATATTTTTATTGAGTGTCTCCTATGGGCAGGTGCTATTGTAGGTACTAAGGATTCAGAACTGAACAGATCCAATCCCTGGCCTCACATTTTCCTGGGGGAGAAAGACAGTGAACAAGACAGTTAGAATTCCTGCTTACACGAAGGGTGGTGTGAGAAAGCGTGCAGAAGGGGCTGCCTGCTGGAGGGAGCACGGCCAGAGGCCTCAGAAGGACGGTGCTTCTCAGTCTGTAATAAGAGCCATAGAAGAGCTCCTGCTATTTTATCCCACACTGGGAATCTCCTCTTGCCAGTTGTGGTGGCTTATTCTTGTAATCCCAGAACTTAGGGAGGCAGAAGCAGGAGGATCGCTTGAACCCAGGCATTGGAGACCAGCCTGGTCAACACTGCGAGACCCCGTCTCTGCAAAAAGGGAAACAAAAACAAAGAGCCTTCTTGTTCTGTCTTGTCTGATTGTTAATGTCTTAAGGTTATTTCTTATCCGTTGGGATGAACACTTACTTGCACAAAGATAGCATTCTATTTCCCATATATATTAAAGTCAACTTTATTGAAGAATGCATATAATAAAACTCATCCATTTTAACTATCCACTTGATTTTAGTGAATGCTGTATGTGAATTTCGATGAATGTGTATGATGTATGATATGGTTTGGCTCTCTGTCCCCACCCAAATCTAATCTTAAATTGTAATCCCCATGTGTCAACGGAGGGCCCTGGTGGGAGGTGATTGGATCATGGGGGCGGTTTCCCTGTGCTGTTCTTATGATAGTCTGTGAGTTCTGATGGTTTCAAAGTGTTTTGTGGGCCAGGTGCAATGGCTCACACTTATAGTCCCAGCTACTCCAGAGGCTGAGGTGGGAGAATCGCTTGAACTCAGGAGGTGGAGGTTGCAGTGAGCCAAGATCACGCCACTGCACTCCAGCCTAGGCAACAGAGCAAGACTCCATCTCAAAAAAAAAAATGAATAAACAAATAAAAAATAAAATATAAATAAATACATGAAATATTTGGTGTGGTGGGTGCAGTGGCTCATGCCTGTAATAATCCCAGAACTTTGGGAGGCCAAGGCAGGCAGATGACCTGAGGTCAGGAATTAGAGATCAGCCTGGCCAACATGGTGAAACCCCATCTCTACTAAAAATACAAAAATTATCTGGGTGTGGTGTCACATGCCTGTAATCCCAGCTATTCGTGAGGCTGAGGCAGGAAAATCGCTTCAACCTGGGAAGTGGTGATTGCAATGAGCCAAGCTCATGCCACTGCATTGTAGCCTAGGCAACAGAATGAGATTCTGTCTCAAAAATAAACAAATATAGAGTGGAGCAGCTGCTGGAGATGCCTGCCGCATTGGTCTGAGAAGCAGTCAGTGACGTGATGGAGCAAGCAGGGATCACTTAGACCTGAGACAGACTACAGACCAGCACGTACCAGAGGGGGAAGTCCAAGTCAGGTGCAGGACTGCCTCACTGAGCAACCCAGAGTGTCGGTGGTACCCGAGGCATTCTCAGCAGCAGCAGGTACCTGTGGTGGATTTCCAGGCTGAACCGAGGCAGGCATTCTTAGCTGAGACACCAAGAGGTGATCAAAGCCATATTGGAATCGAGAGGAATCTGATTCCCAGCAAAAACCAGCCTTCCCTAGGTCTTCAGAGGTGTCAGATTTGGTGGAACAGCAGTAGTGACTGGGGAAGCGTAGTAGCCAGATGCTGCAGCACGTGAACTGTAGATTGAGATGGCCTGATCTTCACTGACACCTTGAAGGCTTTTGACAGGCATGTGAGTTTGATCCTCTGTGATTGTGATGAGTTCAGAAAGATGAAGCCAAAGAATGCAAAGCAACCAGAGCGTGAAGAAAAGCGGGTTTTGGGTCTGGTGTTGCAGCGTGGGGAGAAGTTGGTATCCATGACTGTGGTGGGGGTGGCCATTAGATACTGGCATTGCTCGGGTACCACCTGCTGGAGCGTCAGGAGGCCCTGGGGTTGGTAGGGCAGCTGGTAGAGGAGTACCAACTAGATTAGCAGGCCCTGTCTGAGAAGTTGGTGGACCATCCCAGCAGGTAAAGGCTACACAGGGAAGAGGCACTGTAGCAACTGCTGCTGTTCTGTGACTGCCAGCATTGCTGGAGCCCCAGCACAGTACCCACGAGGACGGGGGACTCGGCCCCCCACCTGTCGGCAGAGCAACCCCACCTCCAGGCATTGTGGCCCCTCTACCTGGTATGAGACCACGCATGGGCCCACCAACTGGGCTTCCCCTTGCTGGAGGGATGCCAGTAGACACGCGTCATGTTAGGCTGGTCATCAACTCTTGACCTCAGGTGATCCACCTGCCTTGACCTCCCAAAATGCTGGGATCGTGTATGTAGAAAACCCTTGTAACACAAACTAATGCAGAAGAAAAAAAACATGTTGTGGTAACATTCTGAAGTTTTTTGGTTTTGTTTTGAGGTGGAGTCTTGCTCTGTTGCCCAGGCTGAAGTGCAGTGGCGCGATCTCAGCTCACTCCAACCTCTACCTCCTGGGTTCAAGCAATTCTCCTGTGTCGGCCTCTAGAGTAGCTGGGATTATAGGCGCCTGCCACCATGCCCGGCTAATTTTTAATAGAGATGGGGTTTCACCATGTTGGTGAGGCTGGTCTTGAACTCCTGACTTCAGGTGATCCGTCCGCCTCGGCCTCCCAAAATGCTAGGGATTACAGGCGTGAGCTGCTACGTCTAGCTTCCGTTCTCACCTCTTGATTCCAATGTTCCTTCTTTGTTAAACTCTTCCATTCATTGTAAGAAAACACGTATTGCAATATTTAGACTTTTTCATATATTTAATTTCTCTCCTCATTATGTGCACGGTTACCTTTAAATCTCTGAACTTATAATAATAACTGCTTAAGTGTATTTTTGTGCTAATTCCATCATATCTATTTCTGAGACTGTTTCCATTGGCTGATTTTTCTACTGGAGAAAGCTAC